TAAGTCTTTAGAATACGTCTTCAAAGCGCCAATGTCGCCATCTTTAGCAACGTCAATGCCGTTCTTGTGCTTTTTGTTTCTTCAAAGAACTTTTTCTATCTTTTCATTTTGTTCCATGTTCCCGACGGTTTGTCAATATCAAAACCTAAACGGAAACAAACATTGTCATTAGCTAAATGTCAAAGTGAAAATGTTTTCCAACAATTTCCCCCTTTTTGATAATGACAAACCAAGGAGGGGATATGCAGGCCAAGTTGGGTTTTCAAAGAGAGAGTAATGGTAATTCCCCCTACATCTTTGAAAACAAGATTCCCCCTCACTTGTTGCATATACCCAAACACTTCCCCCTTTTGCATTAGCAAAAAGCACTAAGTAAAGTTTTAAAAAAAAGTACTCCCTGAGCATTGATGTTTGATACAAAATATCATTGTTGTACGTTTCCCCTGAAACTGATACCCTATTTATAGAAAAAACAATTCCCCCCAAACTCCCCTTGATGCAAATTATTAGGTTTCGTGCTTGGATCCACTACAAAAATGTAGTCTTCAAACACACCTACATATGCATCTAATAATTTTTAGGTACCCAAAAGCTTTTGGGTCCTTGAGGGTTAGGAAAATAATAATCATAGCTATAAAACAAATCCCTATGTTTGGTAAAACAAACGGGTGCTATGTGTCCTATCTTAGAGCAATAATGGCAAGTTACATTTGGGTTATGCATATGCCTAGGTTGAGCCAAAAAATTTCTAGATGATCTAAAGTCATTATTCCTAGAATTATTAATTAAGTTCCTAGACTCATTTCTAGGTTGCCTCAAATTATTTCTATCATTTATAAAAATCTTAGAGTCATTTCTAGGTTGTCTCAACTTATTATTTTTATTCTTCCTAAAATTAATTTTGTTATTCCTGGGATTATTTGTTCTTCTAGGTGGTTTATCATTATTAACTTCTTCACCAAGTTTCTTAGGTTCTTCTACCTTAAGTTTTTCTATGGTGCTCTTAAGTTCTACATTCTCTATTTTTAAAGACTCACAAGAGGAGCAAGTAGAACTTTGGTCAAAGGAAGAAGCTTCGTTCATTGCCTTAATCTTATTTTTAAGGTCAAGATTATCATTTTCTAAAAATTTATTTTCTTCTTCTAAAGCATGAAGTTTAGCCTTAGCCTCTTTGGCAATTTTTGAAGCTTTCTTGAATTTACCAAATAGTTCTTTAAAAGCTTCTTGTAATTCTTCAAAAGAATGAGAGTTAGAAGTACTCACCTCTTCTTCTTCATTGGCCATGAGACAAATATGGGTTACTTCTTTTTCTCCTTGTAGAGTTTCGTATTTCTCACGCATGCCATCCCATAGATTCTTAGGCGTTTGATATCCGGAGAACTTTTGAATTTCTTGCGCGTCAATTGCACAAAGTAGAAGGTTAAGAGCTTTTGAATCTTGTTCCACCTTCTTGATATCTTCTTCATTGTATTCCTCCTCGAGTTTCTTTACTTTTTTCTTTCCCACCTTCTTCGTTGGGAGAGAAACTCCGTTGTTGATTGCCATCCATAGTGTGTAATCAACGGATTGAATGAAGATTCTCATTCTATCTTTCCAATAAGAGTAATTTACTCCATTAAAGAGTGG